GGGGGGGGGGGGGGGGGGGTGGCAGTGACCCCCCGGAGGCTTTCGCATCGGACACCAGGTTACGGAGAACTATCCCTCCGCGCGCGCACGCGCACCCGCGAGTCCTGGTCTGCGAGTACGAATAACACTCACACAATCACACATGCACATCTCCTTGCACATACACACACACACACCCCAACACACCCGAAAACACACACACACACACACACCACAAACACGCAGGCAGTCAGACAGACAAACATAAAACAGTTGACTCACTTGACTTCCGATACCCCGACGAACCGTGACAAACGGACTGGCTGACAGACAGGCGTGCCTGCAGGCATGTGTAAGACGTAAGTTTCTCACCAATACCATCCCACACCCTCATGGCATCCCATGCCATGCCATACCATGCCATACCATACCGTGCCATGCCTCTTAGGAGGAGGGGAAAGACATCTGGGAACGCCAAAAGACCGAATATGGCTCATCACATCGCATTACGCCACATGGGATAACACGACACTAATTTATTTGGTATAACCTTGCGCTGTGTTGCACTACATGACATTATGTTTGTGCGGAATTATACAAGTGTCCTGCGGGTTTGCCATTTCGGTTTTTTAAAAGTAGTAAGCATAATAGAACCTGTCTCAAAGACTGTACACCTGTTCACTATTTATCTATTTGCTGCGCTGTGTCGACACCGCATGCCCGGACTCCCTCTCCAGCCTTTGGAATCCCCCGAGTCCGCCAACCGTCAGCCAAGCTTTGGCCAGTTTGAGCCATGTCTCACAAGGGGGTTGGGGTCGGCTTATAGGGTTTCTTTCAGATCAACGCGACCGAGTCGCTGTGTGCATATGCGCTTGCCGGGTATAAAGGTATGCAGGAACAGAAAGCCTTCGAAGCTTTTGCAACCTCGCTGCGTTCACGGCATGGCGCCGGTCTCTGGGGGCGGGGGTGAAAAGCTGCGACCCTCCGAAGTCAAGTCCTCTTACTGCCGCTGGCGCTTCAGCGAATACACCCGTGACATCCTGCGAGGTCCCCGCCGCCAGTCGACCATCCAGAGTGTATGTAGAGCGAGTGCTTGCACTCAGCACTGATTGAAGCTGAGCCGAGACTCCACCCGGTCACATCCTTGACATTGACAGTGATTGTCCCGTTGAGGAGTCGGTCGAGAATCAGCGTGTCCGAAGCGAATTCCACGACCTCTTCCTGCCCCTGGCCTACCGGCATCACCAGTTCAGACGCTGCCAGCCAGTGAGGAATGAAAAGTCTGACATCTTGTCGCCTGCGTCCTGTGAAGCCTTGCATGTCGCCTAGGCCTTCGGGCCCGAACTTTGAGTACAATTCCGGCTCCAGCAGTGGAATGTGATCGTCGGAGTGTTGGTGCATGGAGGCCCCGAAGTCTCGGAGACAGCGTCTCACAGCAGCAATGGATGCCTATGCCACAGATCGACCCGCTGTAAACGTGACGGAAAATCACAGACGTGTTCCCCGTCTGCGCTCATCATCTCACAGAATGCGCCGCCCAAAATGTCCCAAACAACCGAGGCTCTCACATACCCTCTCCGCACTCGTCAAGCTGCAAGAGAAGAACTACTGCGTGTGCTGGCCGCTCCTTGGCCTTTCCCTCGTCCAGACCCTGTAGCATTGCATGAAGCTAGGGCGGAGCTGAAACCGATTGCCATCATGGTTATATACCATGCCTACTTGAATGAGACAGCCACATGTTACACCCACTCGCGGGGCCCCCCATGCAATTCAAGTCGGTCAACAGCCATTCCGATGTCCTGCGCACACCATTGAGACCTCCTTTCCTGCCGACGCACCATCGAGACCTCCCTTCCTGCCGAAGCCCAGCCAGCAGGGTAGCCCCAGTCAGGAGCCAGGCTGCACTCCACATGGAACTGACGTAAACAAAAGATGCAGCCCTACCATCTGCGATCATCTGCGACGGGAGCCAGAATGCCTATGCACAAACCTGTCGATGAGAATCTAGCCACCCAAACCCCACGCTGTCCACAGCTTTTGCGGCGAGAGGAGCATTGTTCAGCGAGGCACTGAGCAGTGGCGCGTGGCTGGGAAAGAGATGCTGTCAGCTTGCTAGCTTGCCTGATGATTTCATAGGTATATAAGTATATTGCAATCCAGCCTGGGCACTTCGAGACTTGCTCGTAGCAGCCGTCCGCGGATGGCTACTGCATCGACCACTGTCTGGGCTTAGCCCCGGCTCAGTGCTTCATTTGCGTCTTGAAGTTTGCACAATGCTTCTGCATGCCGGCCAATCGTCCTGCCTCGCATACCCGAGCTAACACTTGCGGGGCTTGCAATCCAATGGATTCCGCACATACTGAAAACCCACATAGTGCCCAGAAATCTGCAGGACTCGTCATTCTTCTTCCAATCCTTCATTGCGGAGACCCTGCTGCTGCTTATGCAACTTCGCTACAAGTAACGAAGCAGGACTGGAGAGGCCAGACTGAGCCGCAAAAGCATGAATTGCAAATATACACGGCCGCCCCCCTTCCCCTGGTCAACTTTCATTGCCCGTATGCCAGCCTGAAGGCGGCAAATTTCTTCAAAACTTACCCGATCCAATTCGATTCCGCTCCAAGTCGACCAGGGGCGCAGAAGGGGGCGCCTTTTCGGAGAGCCTGTCAGCTGCACCCTTCGGCACTCCAAGGCCAGGGCTAAAGACCCTGTGACACAGAGCAGAGGAGTTCAAGGGCTCACATGTTACAAGTACTTTTCGGGGGAGTCGGCCCCTCTGCCAGTCTCAGGAGCGCTTCGAATGCACTGCCAGTGCTGTGATCTACAAGCCTTTCCCTGGAAGGGTGACATTCGACTTCACTTTGCATAAGCCTGACTCCAACCCTGGACAAGTTGCCTAGGGTTCACGTGTCTCACCGCCACTATGAACACCGTCTCAAAATACACACAGCGACGCGACTCGTCAGTGGCCCCAGAGTTTCACGAGGCGCGGGTAAACAAACCTGAACCAAACTTCTGGATTCGAGGATCCTGGGAATGCACCTTTAGTCCAAGGAAGACTGCAAGCGCTGCGGGGAGGCTGCGTTTGTGCCAAGCCTTTCCAACCCACAAGCAGCCTCAAATATCATCCAATCCACCATGCGGCATCTGCCCTTTGCCAGGCATGGAAAGATCTCCCTCGACTGCAAGACAACATCGGGGTCAACCGATGACTCTACGGCCCCAAGCACCTTAAACCAGGATGTCCCTTTCAACACTGGCTGCATTGGGAATTTTCGCTCGTGCCTGCTTTTGCCAAAGACCTGGTGCGCAGCCAGACTGTGCGATTAGTGGGCGTTGATTTGGTCAGGGTTGGGAGGGACAAACTTCCACGTTGTGGCAGCAGAGAGCTACAGCTCAATCAAACTTAAGGTCACGGGAGCCGACTCCAGTCACAGTCATCTTTCCCTTCAGCTGAGCTGCAACTTCCACTGCTGCACACGAAACACATGCAGCTCCATCTTGGATGGGGCCAACAGATTGCAGACATAGCAAGGGACATTCCGGAAACCTGCCAAACACTCGTTGTGGGATACCAGGCTTCAAGTCTCACCGGTCACATCAAGGCATCTGTGAGAGGCCCAGGATTAGAACAAGAACCTGGCAATTATGTCTACAAGCCTCTTGGGGCAGCTTTAAAGAAATTTTGTGCACTCACGGCAGAACAGCCGGTACGTGAGCATGCTCTTAGCCTGCGCACGAGCAATGGCTGGGTGCATCTGCCCCAGTCGACCTGACATGCCTGGTGGGAACAGCTTCAAAACCACATAGCGAGATGAATCAAATCATGCACCAGTTCACCATCCTTGTTGCAGGACACCGCCGTTGGCATCTCAGGCATGGCCCATGGCCACAACAGGTTAAGCGAAACTTGGACATGAAGCTCGCGAACAACTTCGGGATCTGAAAGTCCACGTTTGGAAGGGCATAGACGGACAAAGCTGATGCGCCTTCATGCCAAATCACAGCAGCATTACTTCTCCAGCCAAGTTCTGGAGGCATATCTCTCCATCATTAAGGCAATCTCTCCGTCATTAAGGCATGAGAGCCCGTCTCAAGAGGACTGGACGGCTTTCGGTTGGATTCTCCGATTAAAGGTTCTCTGAATCCGGCCGTTCACCCCTCCCACCTGCATCTCCGCGTAAAGAGAGAAGTGGTTTTTGCACGCAGGCCATTTGCCACCCTCAGGCAGCAATTCGACCTGTGCAGGCACTTTTATGCTGCCTGAGTACATGTCATGCCAACCTACCTGACAGTGGGAACTTTGTAGCTGAACTACCTGCTGTCAGTGATCTCTGTACCAGCCACTGTAGCAGTAAGACTGCCGAATAAAGGACCTTCCAACAACGACCAAAGAGTTGCCCGTCTTCACGGCCCAAATGCACTTGTTCATGGCCTGCCCCCAGGCCAAGGGAAAGCCGCTCCGCGGCTTCCTGAGAAGTCTGCTATACTCTTTCGAGGCAGTTCGTCGCCAAAACGCTTACGCAAGTTTGTAGGGCTTCGGTTTCCGGTGGCTCCTTCATGGCAATATGATACATTTTGTGCTGGCGGTCTATCACACCTTCCCTGTCACACTTTAGTCACCATATGATACTGTAAGTAGAGCAAACCCAAAAAGACTCTCACAAGAGGAGGCTCCCCGCATCCCCGTGCCACACTCAATAGGCAGTACCTCCACCAACAGTATCTGCCCCAGCTGCTTTTTTCCTGAACTGCCTCAACCGCTCACACTTCAGGTTTAAGCTTCCGGCCTGCTCGATACGCAAACGCACACCGGAGCGGCGCCGCGGAGGGGGAGAGTCCCCTCCAGCAGCCTGTTTGCCGAGTCGTTTGGACTCTAACTCGGACACTCCGATTGCCGCATACGTCTACTCAGCTCAATTAGAGTGCACGGTCTCAGGGCAGCTGGTTTGGGCGGCCCTATGCAAAGCTCCCTCGTGTCCCTACACACTTCACTGCGAGTAGGAGAAGAAAGAGTTGGACCTAAGGAGCTTACTACACGTTCGCAGCCCCACTAACTCATTCCAGACTGGACGGTTCACTGCCAGCCTTTGAAGTTGCAGGTAGGCGTATGGGAAGACAGTGTGGGGGTTAGGAGGGGCCTGTGGAGCCTGTGAGAGCCAGTGCCACGCCAGGTCAACGCACTGCTCTGCCCAGCGTACTCGGCCGCGGCCTACTTCCGACTTTACAGAACCACCCCTATACACAAACGCCTTGGTGAACACACGGACAATTCCTTTCTAATCTAGGTTGCTCCGGGATGCTCTCCAGACGTGACCAAACAGCTTAAGTTGTGCCATGTGGATGAGGTGTGTGAGTGGAGGCTCGTCGGCAAGAGCACGGACGCCTTCGTTCCTGATTGTTTGTGCCTGTGCATTGTCCGCGGAAAGTCTTGGTGCAAAAAGTGGACTTGGTTCTCTGGATATTGCGAAGTTTTGGTTCCCGCTTGGCAGTGTCGCGCGCGACTCCACAGAATGCCGGTACATTGCGAAGTGACTGTGAGTGGAAGGCTTCACGCCGGTGGAGGTCGGCTGTTTGGTCAAGTTCGAGACCTGTGAAGAAGTGTGTGTGGTTGCGTGCTGCCTGTGAGCTGAGCAGCACCGACTTCTCGTAGTTGAGACTGAGGTTGCTGTGAGCTGTAATCTTCATGCAATGTCTGCACGAAATGCTCTCCTCTTTCCGCAATGCCGGTGCAGATGGCATATGCAAACTTCATCGATATTGCAAGAAAGCCGAGTTTTTCTCGCGACGTCTGAAGAGGAACAGGCTAAATATGGCTGAGCGTTCAATGCGCATTCAGTGCACTACATCACTACTACTGGTTACCTGCCTTGGCTGCCAACGCCGTAGCCACCGCGACTGCAAGTTCTCGTCGCAAGCCTCCCGCTTCCTGCACTTGGTCACTTGGGCTTTGTATCGTTTGGTATCAAAGAAGGCTAGCTATCCCGTGAAACTGGTGCATGGGCATCCAATGAAATACAACAGCAAGAAATCACGGGCTGGCGTTTCAATATCGGTACAGCTTACAGCCCGTACACATCTGTGTCACTTATGATCGTGAATGACTCTGATGTGCGTCAGAAACGGCATCCTTCTGCTGCCGCTTTAGTTCTCGTCTGGCTTCGTCGAGGGCACCTGGCAGGCCACGTGAGAAGCTAGAGGCATGCGAACGGGCATCGAGGAAAACCGGCACATCAGCCACCTGCTGCTCGCTCCGCTTTGGCTTCAGATGCCGAGATGGCACCCATGCTGCCATGCCGCGTGAGCGTGGCCTTGCGGGACACTTGTGGGCAGTTTTCGGACGACTGGAAGCCGCAGCAGCTTGCAAAGCCTGCACATGATCGGACTTGTCTCCTTGACATCTCTGCTGACACGGTGCTGGCTTGCGTGCTGCATATGTGTCATCGACCTGGCAGCTGCAGTCTGGCATCTGCCCCACATCATTGAGGAGCTCACTTCAGCCATTCCAAAGTCAACACCCGGCTATGTGAAGCACAATGAGCCTATCTTCTCAAGCCCTCCGTGCACACAGACCTCACCCGTGGAGGTGCTGAGGTCCGTGAGGGAAGCAAAGTGCGCACCTGCCTGCCGAGCTGGTGCAGGTCACGGCTGAAGGCTGATATACCCGAAACACACGGCAGGATCTCGCCAACTCTATTGGCACCTCCATCAGCGCATCCGCACGCGCAGTGGCACAGATGGTGCCTGCCCTCTTGGGACTGTCGATGGCACCTTGAATCAGCTTCCCTTAAAGGCCCTTATCCATCACATCCCTCTGAACCTGGCCCAGCTGCCAGTAAAGACAGAAAACAAAAACCAAGAAGCGCGACCATAATAGGCAAGTTGCGCATCGTGTGCTTGGTGTCATGCAGCTCCTAGGCATGCGTGGGCTCGCATCTCACTGCCAGAGCATCCGATGCCCCTTCACTGCAGCTTATTCGTTCAATTATGCTGAGAAGCCCTCCATTGTTTAAGGAAGTCTCCTTACTTGAAGGTATTGTGCTTCTGGCTCTTCACGAAGATTGAATTCTTTAAAAACCACTTTGGTTCCTCCACCATAAGCACTAACAATACATTTGCAGATTTCCATCCCAAACGCATGTCCCGAAAATTGCGGGAAAGAATACTGAATACACACGATGAAGGTCTCAGGTCCTTTCGACCTTGCCATGCAACGAATGCACAAACCAGAGTAAAGGCAAGCATGCCTACACCAAGCCACAAACGTCCTTGCCGAGATGGCATGTCCTCTTATCTCATCTTGCATAACCACCTATCTCGGCTGTCCTTCTTCAAGCGCTTGCACTCGTCCCGGAGCCCCAAAGCACGATCTTCCGCCTCTCGGCGCTCGCCTGCGCAACAAGGTACGGCACGCTAGGCCCAAATGCAAAGAGGAAGGCTAAAGCGGCTAACGGATGACAAGGCTGCCTTCGGCGCGTGCTTTCTCCCGCTCCGCCTTCTCAAGTCTCCTCCGGGCACCCTCCTGCGGATGTGGCGTCTGGGCCACTGTGTTCATAGCTGGAGTTGGCAGAAGCTCGCCTGCAGTAGGTCTTGCTGAAGCTACACTTCCTAAGACAAGAACAAGCCCTGTCCATCTCGGCGTCGATGTCCTTAAACTGGGACAGTGTCCGGGTTCTAGCAGCTTTGGCATCCTGGGATGCACTGCGGCAGGATGCAACAGAGGAACTCCACCCGTAAATACAAAATGATTGAAGCAAGTCCGAGAGGACCAAATGCTCAAGGCTCGTCACCCAAAGCGTCACAGTATGCAGAATGGGTTTTGAGTGCAGAACCAAATCACGAAAGCGGTGAAGCTGGCAGCAATGCTTGTGATGAAGACTCCGATCACAATCAGAAGTAACTCTGGCCTACTTGTCGTCAGTTTCAATACTGCAACATGCCGTATCTCTGCGTCCTGTCGTCTTTTTTGATTCGCTTACGAAAATGTGAGACTATGCCGACTATGAGCTGCTGCTATCTCCGGATAACCTACTTGCTTCTGTTGTCGCTACAACCGCTTCAGGCCACAGACCTGGAACATCGAAACTTCTCGTAGCCCAGGCCACGCTAAGCTCACCGGCCAGCTCCGACAACTGTGCCTCTGCAGCGGCCGCACGCGCCTTGCGGAGTTCCACCTCCACCTGGCACTGAGTTGCAGCGCTTGGAACCCGCAATGTAGAAAGTTTTGCATGGTGCCGTATAGTAGAATTTCGACTTTCACACCCTCACAAGCAAGGATGCCTGATGTGTCTCATCTCTACTCATAATATCACTGCAGGAGCCGCTCAGGAGCCGACACTCACCGAAACACACAGCTACCCACACATACCCACCACACCATTGTAGTCCAAAGGAACTTAAAAGTCCAACCGTTTGACCTGCTGCGTAACATTTCACGCACCCTCGCAAGATTTTCGGTGCCAGAAACGGCTCAAAGTACAGCAGGCTAAATGTACTCCAGAGTCTAGAGCCACAGCCCCAAATCCCAAATCTTACACCGTCACCCTGTACAACGCTTGTAGAACCCTGTAACTTACCAACCACAGCCCCAAACCCCAACAATTATGAAGAGCTTTCAGGATTTATGGCTGGCAGAGTGAACCCGACACGTCGTAGGAGCCTGCCTAGCTAGAAAACCACCTTTGGGTTCTTGGAGCCGTCGGTGATGGGTCGTGTCAGCAGCACAACTGGCAGCACGACAGCCCACGTCGTGCCGCCAGTTGTGCTGCTGGCACGAGCAACTCACAGAGAGCTATTGGTTGTTTTGGGGGGGGGGGGGGGGGGTTGCTTGACGATTACAACATGATGTTGGGAGAGGGTCCTGAACACACCATGGCTTGGCTCAGATCACTTTCGAATTTGGGCTTGTTGCCACCACCGCTGCATGCGCTCCGCAGCTCCGCGTTAGCGCTTTACCGAAGCTTCGCAGGGGCCTGCATCCGTTAACTCCAATATTTTCGGAAAAAACGAGTTCGTAGAATACAAGTTTCGGATTCATAAACCTGTGTGGTCAGTCAAAGCGGCAGGAAGAGACATGCAAGGCGGCGTTTGGGGCATAAAGGCATTTCAAGTTTGAACACTCTGGTGCTTGGCACAGGCTGGCGGCTAAAGCCTGAAAGCCAGAACGGACAATTCCGGAGGAAACTTTGCAGTCAGAAATGTGGCCTCGAGCTGCTGCAGCTGTTGCTTCAGCTGCCGGACCTGCATCGAAGCTGGGGTTTCGGAGATGGGTACTCGAAGGCTGTGAACTGCTGCAAGACCTCGCACACATGACACATAACACAAACGCAAAACTAATGACATGAGCTCGTTGGTTATGTTGTAACTTGCCACTCCACGGAAGTGCTTGAAGCGGCCTCCGTCTCAGAGCCCAGCGCAAGGTGTGCCTTGCTTTAGAGCTTCTTGCAGACAGGTACTTTCTATACTCAAAGGAGGTTTCGACGCTCACTCTCGGACATCTTTCAGTTTTGAGGTTGACACTTGCGGCTTTACTTCTGTGTTCCGACTCTCAGTCCGCAGTTTGTCGTGCGTTTTGCAAAAGAGTTCGGATTTGGGATGTCTTAAGATGCCCTGAGCTTCACCGAGGTTCGGCATTGGCCTCACGCACACCTGCCAGCTCTGCGCTCAGCTGCTTCACCTTCGGAAGATCGAAAAGCTCTGTCGGCAGAGCTGCAGTGAAGACGGACGAGGAATCGCCGAACCTCCCCTGTACCGATCTACGACACAAGCTGGAGCAGGCCTTGTTCTCCGCATCGCGAAGCTGCTGCCGGGTCTCCTTGCAGGCAGCGGAATCTCGAAGTCACGTACTTGGTGGTCTTGCAGTCCTGCCTGCAGGTCCTGCGAAGCCGAGGTTTCGCCTCAATGTCTGTTTTCTGCAAATGCTGGCCACACAGAAAGTCTTGTTCGTTGCTGAATCTCGAACTCTCGCCGCGGCCATGCGACCTTCCTTACACATGACAATCGGCTCACGAAACTTCAGATTGAGGCGCGGCGAAAACGTCGCGACCCTTAACTGCCCTTCGGCCTGGCAATTCACTTACCAAGCATAGCGTATGCTAGCGTCGCGACAAGCGGGTCGTCAACCGCACACTGCCGGCAAAATCTGCCACCCCGAAACATAGTATGGACCTCAACTTGTCCAAGGATCGTTGCGTTCTACGGTTGGTGTTCATTAAGTCTTATGACTGATACAGGGGTATTGCCAGGTGGCGATCTGCCAGCGACTGCCGCAGCATCTCGCATCGGTCCTCTGGGGCAGGCCATGAGATCTTGAAACCAATACTCCCCTTTCGACCGGGTACTCCTAGGTAGCCTGGGCCCCGAACTCCTGAACCCAAAACCCGCTGAGTCAGCCTGCCACTCACTGGCGCGTCGGCGTTCAGCCTGAAGGTCCTGTGCCGATTTTCGAAACTTTAGTCGGTCCCCCGTTCGTAGCAAATGTAGGGCTGCGTTCAAGGGCTTCGGAAGGGCGTGATGCACCAGTCCAACATGAACAATGCACATGACAGGCGCTAATCATGCTGGAGGAGCGCCAGTGCATTCCATCCGACCCAAACCTGGTAACACACTACAAGTCGTGTCGCTGGCCGCCAGTGGGGGAACTGAAAGAGTTGACAAGGACTCCACGATGCACCTCACTGACGTCGGAGCGGATGCTGGTTTCGAGCGACTCCTGCGACAGCACTCATTTGTGTGATGCGCCTTTCCAGACTCCCAACCCTCGAAAACCTAACGGCCGCTTCGAAGAAGTCGGTCCTGAAGCTGTCGGTTAGAGTTTTCGAGCTGCTTGGTAAGGTGGTTGACCTGGCAAACAAGTGCTTTCAGGCTCCTCGTGCGCCTTGCAGTACTCAGAGCTTGGTGCATGGAGCTGGCCAGTTTCAGCTTCTCAAGGTTTGTGGACCCTAGGCTGACTTAGAGCTCTGTTTGTTTCCCAAGAACTTGGAATCGGGATGCTTTGCTGCTTCGAGTTGGCGCGAAGAGTCTCTGGAAACTTGAGCTGCAAGTCAGCTCTCGTGTCCAACGAATACCAGCACAAACGACAAAACGACTCGCAGACGAATGCGCCAATCAACAACACAACTGCACTATTTCGGCAGCCTTGCCCTCAAGCTCGGCGAGCTTGCCTTAGCGGCTCTAATCTCTAGCACTCTGGGCACTGGCACCCCCGGACAGCCGGGGCTTCGGATGTAGGCGTAAGTATCTGGCGACACCCCTGGCCAGACAAAAGAAAAATGGCCTTCGTCGGAGTCGACATGCTGTGCGCGACACCTGTACAGATTGCAAGTAGCTGTTACAGTTATGACCCCTGGAAGCCTCCGAAGATGCTGTTTTTTCATACATGACACCCTAAGAGGACCTCACTCTCAGAAACACACGGGATGGAAACATTGGCGGCCGAGCAGCTGGAGCGGACGCTGACCTCCGAGCTGTCGTTCTTCGACTGCAAGGCAGGCAGCTGTGCTAAGGAGTGCATGGTGCAAGGTCGCACTATGGCCCGACAGCCATCTGAAGCTCGGTCGACGATCTCGCCCGGAGTGCCTAATTTAAAGTCTCTGGACTCAGAGCTCTCGACGAGCATCCAGGCACGAATGGCAGGCATCAGGGAAAGTACGATATGGTCACGATGGACTAAATGCCGTGAATCAAAAGAAGCAGGGACTAGGAGCTAGGACTTAAACTTCAGCTCTACACCGGCCCGAAGCCTTCCGCGATTCGGACACCTTGTTCTCCAGTGCCATGAGTTTGCTCTCAAGCTGCTTGACCCGGGTGCTCTTGGACAGAACTTCCTGACAACATCAGCAGGAACATTGCCAAAAGATGCTGCTCATCACCTCCCGTTAGTATCACAAAGGCCGCAGAGCCGAAAGGACGCTCCCAGAATGTTACGGTTCGCCCTCACCGCCCCCGCCCCCCGCCCCCCCTCCGCACGACCCAAGCCGCCAAGTGGCCGCTCGCGATGCCTTTAGCTGCGCAAGCGTCAGTTCGATCTCTTTCTGGGCGGCCGCTCCTGTGTTGGAAGCTGGAGGCTGTGGACTGCAGAAGCTTCGTTGAACCCTGCACCTTCCAGTCGTGTACTTCTACACGCTTGACACTTTGCCTGATCTTGCTTAATCTTATCATTTCTACATCGTCGCATTCTACGTCATATCAACCCCTGGTGCGCTACATTTTGTTAGTGTATTGCACCATCCCTTTATGTCTATACTGAAACGTTTAGTTTTGCCCGTTTGTAAATTGCGATGGGTAGCATTCCGCAGAAACTGTGATTTCCTGATAGCTAACTGCAATTCCCCAGTGCCTTGCCACAAACCGCGGCCCTAGAAATTGTGATTCCCCAAAAGCTTGCTGAAAAAACACCTCCTTCTTGGAGCCTTAGAAAGATTCTCCAATACCGTACTTCATCGGTGCAGTGGCGAAGATTTGAAAACGTAGGGCCTAGGGGGCGGGGGAATAATAACCACGAGCCCATGTACAGAGGTGTGGGTGTGTGTGTGTATATGTATATATATATATATATGTGTGTGTGTGTATGTGTGTATATATATATATGTATACATGCATATGTATGTATGTATGTATGTATGTGTGCATGTATGCATGTATGTATGTATGTATGTATGTACGTATGTATATATGTATGTATATACGTATGTATGTACGTCTGCCTGCTTGCCTGCCTGCCTGTCTCCGTTAGATAGGTGTGTATATGTAATAGGTATACGTATACACACAACATGTATAGACATAGGCAAAGATGACACAAAAAATATAGATCGGTAAATAGGTAGATACAAACAGACATCATCTGACAGACATCACCTTTTGCACCTAGTGACACACGCACACATCCAAATGTATCTATATATATATATGTGTGTGTGTGGGTATGTGTGTATATATATATATGTATATATACTTTTATATACATATATATACATATACATCTATCCGTGTAGCAGCCCATCTGCCTATCTATCTATCACTATCCGTCTACAGGTTTAACTATCTATCTGTGTATCTATCTAACTACCGGCCCAACGACTTTTTTTTGCATCTTCATCAACCCAAACACTGCCCAAATCTCTGGCCTGAAGCTTGCAGTCGCGAGGCCCGGTTCTCAGCAGTCTTCAGTTCGCCCTCAGGGCGGCTGAAATGGAGCGTGGGTGCTCCGAATTTTCTTCCGCCGCTTTCGGGGTATCCCGCCAATGACGCTGCCCAAAAAGGCTAGTTTTAGCTGGCTCTGGGGGCTGTATTCAGCTGTGTCAGCTATGTGTGTTCTTCACACTCTGAAAATTCAAACTTCAGGGTTTCAGGATCACTGGGTTTGAGGCCCAAGGTCCAGGGTCGAAGGCGTTGGTGTTCTTGGCAGGGTTCTTTTTTGGACGTCCATTTCCCTTCGCTAACGCTTGAGCTGTTTCAAGGCCGCGAGAATTGCGGTTTCGGACTCCATGCGTAATATTCCATTGGTTTGACTTATGATGGGCTGCTGTAGCCAAATTGGGTCAGGATTGGGGCGTTGAGCAGTATTGGCTTCGGATGTTCTCGACAGCAACCATGTCTGTTAGGCCATCTGTGACAGCAGGTTGGGCAAGGCTCCGCTTTCCGACTCTGCCCACCTCCAAGACACGGATTCGCTTGGACCGCGAGGCCACCTCCGACCTCAATGCACTTCTTCTGATACTATGACTATTGCTCCGCCTCCTCAACCTCCTCCTCTCTTCCTCCTCCTCGTCCCCCTCCTCTTCCTCCTCCCCCTCCGCCTCCTCCTCCTGCTGTGCAGCTGCTCCGACTCCTTCCTCCGCTGCTGCTGCTACTTACTTCTACTTCTCATCCTAGTAGTAGTAGTAGTAGTAGTAATAATAATAATAATAGTAGCAGTAGTAGCAGTGGTAGTAGTGGTGATGGTGGTGGTAGTAGTAGGAGTAGGAGTAGGATAAGAGTCGGAGTAGGAGTAGGAGTATCAGGACGATTGGTAGAAGGAGTCGGGGTAGGAGTAGGAGTAAAAGTACTACTACTACTACCACTACCACTACCACTACCACTACCACTACCACTACCACTACCACTACCACTACCACTACCACCAGCACTACCACTACCACCACTGCTGCTA